CCGATAACGATACTTGTACTAGAACTATAGAGAAGCGAACCCAGATTGTAAAAAAAAAAAAAAAACAGGGAGGAAAACTTGAAGTGTACGACCACCAGTGTGTGGGCTTTAAACGTGTGTTAAATGTCTGGCAGGTTGAAGGTGATCACCACAGTCTTGAAAATTCTGAAACAAAACGTCTTATAATCACCTCTCGCTACCACAGCCAATGTTTACCTTCAATCACAGGCAAGTAATTATTATTATCATTATGCTTCATGAGAAGTGACTATTATGAAATAAAGGAACTTTCGAAATTTGGCTTAGTCTGAATGTGACTGTAAACTGCCTTTATGGTCGAGTGGTCAAGGTGACAAGCTGTGACTGGTCTACTCAGCCTGACATGTCATCAATAACCTGGGATGAAGAATTACTACTATAAGAGCGCGGTACAAAGCCAGTGTGAAGAAAGAAGACGGAAAATTTATTTATCTTATGAATAATTTCCAAGAATAACAGGAAAAACAAAGCCATATATGACAAACCTTTATTTTAATGGTAACATACAGCCTCCATAATACGAATCTCTGGAGACAAGTCGTTGAGCCTCCTAAAGTCACACCACGGGAGTCTCCTAAACCCTGAGTTGATCCAATCGTGTTCTGCGCATTGTAGGTAACAGCACTTTAGAACATAAACACAGGCACACCGACAATTCAACCAGAGAAAATCTTCATGAAATCTGCTCCCAAAGAATTACACCTCCGAATTACATAAGAATTCCGTATTGCATAAGAACCTGGGATAAGAACGTTACTGATTTACTGTATGTGAAGAGACCGGACACAATCTTATATCAAATGGGCAATAAGATGAGGAGCTACCAGAATGACTGGGTCCTGCCAGTTTAAGGTATAGTAACTTAAACACCTTCTAGCGGCGTCTCCTGTCCTTACTTGTTCTTACGAGGTTAATTAAATACACTCGCACCCTCAACCATCCGTGTCTTTTTGTGTGTGTGTGTGTGTGTGTGTGTGTGTGTGTGTGTGTGTGTGTGTGTGTGTGTGTGTGGCTGTGTGTGTGTGTAATAATAATAATAATAATAATAATAATTGACGGTTTATTGAAAAAGTTCTGCAGCCCGAAGGCTGAAAATATACATTGGACATAAATGACTTATTACATACATTGGTGGTTTAACAAAAGCCTTCATTAGAGAAAGGTAAAGGAACATACAGTGAACATACAGATTAATGTAGGTGTTGAACAGCAAAAACGTAGTGTAGTAACTCCCTCCCAGATGGTGTTAGGAGGGACCTCACGTGGTGTAGTAGTTCCCTCCCAGATGGTGTTAGGAGGGACCTCACGTGTTGTAGTAGTTCCCTCACAGATGGTGTTATGAGGGGCCTCACGTGGTGTAGTAATTCCCTCACAGATGGTGTTGTGAGGGGCCTCACGTGGTGTAGTAATTCCCTTACAGATGGTGTTATGAGGGGCCTCACGTGGTGTAGTAATTCCCTCACAGATGGTGTTATGGGGGACCTCACGTGGTGTAATTACCTCACAGATGGTGTTATGAGGGTCCTCACGTGGTGTAGTAATTCCCTCACAGATGGTGTTATGAGGGACCTCACGTGGTGTAGTAATTCCCTCACAGATGGTGTGATGAGGGACTTGACGTGGTGTAGTAATTCCCTCACATATGGTGTTATGAGGGACATGTGGTGTAGTAATTCCCTCACAGATGGTGTTATATGAGTGAGGTTTGGTCCCAGGCCTTCCTATCGTAGACGGATTAACACATCACATCGCTGGTTGTTGGGTCTCACGGGCCGTTATCACTGGGTACCTGGGACCTCACTGTGTGAAGAAGGTACTACTGTTACTGTTGAGTTGTTCTCACTGACTTAAGCACTGTTCACCTCTGTTTAACACTGGTTCCATTCCTTTCCTAAATGAAATAGTAACTTCTGGCGAGAACATGTTGATATTCCGGTGGGGAGGAGGGTTCAGGGGAGGGAGTTGGTATGGGCCAACATAACAGTTGACCTGGCTGTTCCGAGAGTAGTGTGTGTGTGTGTGTGTGTGTGTGTGTGTGTGTGTGTGTGTGTGTGTGTGTGTGTGTGTGTGTGTGTGTGTGTGTTACGGGCATTAGTCAGTCAGCTGCCACGATGTAAGGTGTACAAGATATGAGATAAAACTTGCTTCATTTTTATCTCAGCCAACAGGGAACGGTGACCACAGAAAGGGATAATTTGATTAGCTGTAGCACTGTATCTCTTAAAGATCCAGTTGGTAATACTGATCCCAGGGCTTTGTCGGCTATCCTTGGGCAAATTGCCTAGATATCTATTATTATTATTATTATTATTATTATTATTATTATTATTATTATTATTATTATTATTATTATTATTATTATTATTATTATTGTCGTCATCATGTTTGCATACCCAGTGACTCATACACCTACATACACCTTCATTCATACAGGAATACAAACTTACGTGCACACGGAATCGGAAACAGGCATAAACGTATGAACTTCCACACACATACACAAACATACACGGTGAACGGTAATAATGTTACAGGAAAACGAAGTCGCAATACAATACTGGCAGGAACAAAAATTAACAGGAAAACGTCACCATTAACTAGTTAGGTTAGGTTAGGTTAGGTTAGGTTAGGTTAGGTTAGGTTGGGGCTTGGTTAGGTTGGTTATGTTAGGTTAGGGTGATTTTGGTTAGGGTGGGTTGGGTTAGGTTAGGTCGAGTTAAATTAGTTTGGCTAGGTTATGTTTTGAATGTTTTCTAACTATACCAGACCTAACCTCACCCTCCTTTGTCTCTTGAAACTTAGAAACCATCTAACCAATCTTCTCCCTAAGCTTAGAAACCATCCCCCTCTATGGTTCCCTTGCTCGAGGCCATCCTTCACCTCTGTGACCTCCAATCAGAATCATAAAGTTTATTCAAAATTAAGAGTCAGAGAGTTTATTCAGTAACATCAACACAGCACCTGTACAAAATTAGGTCTGTACAGATTACAGATACGAACATTTTACCTTAAGAAACATAAGAAACATAAGAAAATAAGGAGTCTGCAATAGGCCGGTTGACCTGTGCATGGCAGCTCCTGTCGAGAGTTACTACCACTCTCTATCAGCCATGAATCTATCTAGCCTCCTTTTGAAACTTTCCAGAGTTCCCGCACTTACTACAAGGTTGCTAAGCTTGTTTCACTCGTCCACCACCCTATATGTGAACCAGTTTCTTCCTATCTCCCTCCTAAATCTTCCTATCTCCTATCTAGGTGGTGCCATAAGTAAGGTACAGACAGAACGTATGCAAATAGTACTTAACCCTTCATATACTCAGAGTAGGGTAGAGTACACGGGAAAATGGCACTCGAAATAAATAGTAAGAAAAAATGGCAAAAAATACCCGAAGGAAAAAATTATAGAACGAAAAAATGCAAATAATGACACAATAAAAAATGGCACAAGGTAAAATGGCACCGTAAAAAAATGGCACATGAAAAATATTGCCATTTTTCCTACATTCATAGAGTAGTACAATAAACATTATCCATAACAGTCACGAACACTAAATACGTACAGAGTTAACCTAACCCTATCAGATAACAAGCCCTCCGCCAGTAGCTCTCGTAGCAGTGTTAACTTGGTGTCACCTGTCCCATACAGTCACGGGTCACGGTTCTTGTGTGGTACAACAGGTTCTGATGTACAGTACTGTCACCCTCTACTTCTTCCCAGTACATGGGTAACAGGTATCGTGTCTCCTCCAGCACCAGTACACACCAGTACACATGACCTAGTACAGTACCAGTACACATGACCTAGTACAGTACCAGTACATATGACCTAGTACAGTACCAGTACACATGACCTAGTACAGTACCGGTACACATGACCTAGTACAGTACCAGTACACATGACCTAGTACAGTACCAGTACATATGACCTAGTACAGTACCAGTACACACGACCTAGTACAGTACCAGTACACATGACCTAGTACAGTACCAGTACACATGACCTAGTACAGTACCAGTACACATGACCTAGTACAGTACCAGTACATATGACCTAGTACAGTACCAGTACACATGACCTAGTACAGTACCAGTACATATGACCTAGTACAGTACCAGTACACACGACCTAGTACAGTACCAGTACACATGACCTAGTACAGTACCAGTACACATGACCTAGTACAGTACCAGTACACATGACCTGGTGATCACCCTTTTCTTCACATGCAAAAATAATATACTTTCATCCCAGTAGTACCAGAGAACAGAATAGGCGGTACTTTTACACACAGCCCACCAATATAGTACACAGCCCAGTAATGCGGTGCACAATGACTAATGCCAGTGCACAATGATAATGCCAGTACACAATGATAATGCCAGTACTGACCCAGTAATATGGTACACGGCCGGTATTATTATGATGCCTGACCCAATGTGCCAGTACACAGCCAGTAATACCAGTACACAGCCAGTAATACAAGTACACAGCCCAGTAATACAGTACACAGCCCAGTAATACCAGTACGGCCATTAATGCAGTACTGACCCATTACACAGTACAGCCAGTAATACCAGTACAGCAATAATACAAGTACACAGCCAGAAATACAGTACACAACCCAGTAATGCCAGTGCAGCCCATTAATGCAATGCCTGACAGTAATGCCAATGCCCACAGCCAATGTCACCAGTACACAGCCAGTAATACCATTACAACCCAGTAACCAGTACACAGCCCAGTAATACCAGTACACAGCCCAGTAATACCAGTACACAGCCCAGTAATACCAGTACACAGCCCAGTAATACAGTACACAGCCCAGTAATACCAGTACACAGCCCATTAATACCAGTACACAGCCCATTATACCAGTACACAGCCCAGTAATACCAGTACACACGACCGATTAGTACCAGTATCAATACACTACCAGTAATGTCTCTCTCTCCTGCAACAGGGCGTGGTGGTCAACCCCAGCAGCGTGCAGTTTCCCTCACTCCACGGGCACCCTGGCCTACGCTCACGACCCACCAGGCACAAGAACTATCCAGCACCCACTCCAACGCCCGCGTCCATGGCTACCGCTGCACCAGACAGATTAAAGCAGTAAGTATTAATGCTGCTTGTGACCTAATCTAACCTGACCTATTGTCGTCATGTACCAACCTCTTCTCTCCTCCGCCGTGTAGGGAGGATGACATAAGATGGTAACCCGCTATAACGCCAAGAAATATCGTTGGATTTTAACCGAACTACGTCTGTCGATGCGTACCAATTCAATAGCTCAAATGGGGTCAATAATCACCATTTTCTGTCGGTAATGTCCAGAGTTATGACTAGGCTTAGGATAATTATGCATTTAAAAATGCTAAATATGCATGCAAATATGCAGTAAATAAATAATAACTACTAAGTTAATAACTCCTTTTCTGTACATTTTCTCAGTAAATTTACTTTCCCAGACAGGATGTCGCCGAAGTAGGATTTTTTAAAGAAGGATTAAATACAAAAAACAATATACTGACAAAGTAATTTATTAAACAATACTGAAAAAAGTATTTTCCTTTTAAGAAAACAGAAGAACAAAAGAGTGTCAGGAGGGAACTAATGGAGCCCGTGCATCTATACCCTGCCTGGCTGAACACGAACCCATCACGTACAGTTCATGTCCACTGACCAGCCAATCACGGCCTAGCTAACCACAGCCTAATGTTGAGCTATATAAAAGTCACTTAAGTATGTTCCTTTTGGATATTATGACGCTAAAACAAAATCGTGTATTTTCGATTTTGTATTAGTGCAACAAAATGGACATTTATTATATTTCAAATATCAGTAATTTCTGCCCCAGCGTTGCTGTTATGCTCGCGAATTTTTTTACCCTTGTGGTTGAAGATTTTTTGTTAATATTTTGGAATTTTCAAAATATATGCCTTATAAAACAAAAAAATATGAATATGCACTTTAGCTCAAAAATGGCTTAAATATGCATTTGCATATGCACATATGCAAATGCATAATTATCCTAAGCCTAGTTATGACCGTTTAGTCGTATTCTGTAGCGAGGAGTGAGACTTAATCCCTTGGGACCCAGACGACTGTGGTGCACATAGAGTGGTTACTGTGGTGTGGTGAATGGTGGAATGGTGACTACGATTATGATGGTGACTGTAGAATGGTGGATATGGGGTTGCGAATTTGCGACTGTTGAATGTCGACTATTGAGTGTTGGCTGGTGTGGTCACTGTAGAGGGGTGACTTATGAATTTTTAATGTGGAGTGGTGATTGGTTAATGGTGACTGGTGCTGTAGCTATAGAGTAGTGATTGTGGTGTGATGACTGACCTGGTGATTGTAAAGAGTGGATGAGGAAAAAGACTGTTGAGTGGTAACTGTGGAGTGGTGAAGAAGGGAAGCCAGTGTGCTGTGTCCTGTGTGATTCGTATACAACAGTGTATGGTGAGTCAGGGGTGATGATTAAACTGGTGAGAAGCTTGAGTGGTGACTGGGTGAGGTATGGTAGTGACTGGGATAGGTATGGTGGTGACTTGTACAGGTATGGTGGTGACTGGGATAGGTGTGGTGGTGACTTGGCCAGGTATGGTGATTGGACTCGGTATGGTAGTGACTGGGATAGGTGTGGTGGTGACTTGGCCAGGTATGGTGATTGGACTCGGTATGGTAGTGACTGGGATAGGTATGGTGGTGACTGGGCTAGGTATGGTAGTGACTGGGCTAGGTATGGTAGTGACTGGGCTAGGTATGGTAGTGACTGGGCTAGGTATGGTGGTGACTGGGCTAGTTTTGATGGTAACTAGATTAAGTATGGTGGTGACCGGGCTAGGTATGGTGAGTAAGATGGTCAAGAAATATCGGGGTGGTGAATGAGTGATGAGTGGGGCCGTGCGAGGTCAGGCTGACGATCGCTTATACGATCCGTGTAGCAACATCTGGCCATAATAACGACTTACCTCCCACGCCCCCTCCTCCTATATTCCTCAAATTATTACGCCTCCTTCCACCTCACCAACGCCTCTCCCACCTCCCTCATCCCACGCTTCCTTCCACCCCACACTCATGTCCCTCTCCGACGTCACACTCTCCCACCACAAATTACCCTCCCTCCCACATAGCCCACCCCCTCCCTCCCTAATCCTCCCACATAACCCACCTCTTCCCTCCCTAATCCCCCCACATAACCCACCTCTTCCCTCCCTAATCCTCCCCATAGCCCACCCCTCCCTCATAATCTTCACAACCCCACCTCCTTCCTCCTAATCCTCCATAACCCACCCCTAATCCCTCCACATAACTCACCTCTTCCCTCCCTAATCCTTCCACATTACCCACCTTCTCCCTCCTTAATCCCCCCCCCTAAGTGCCACTCTCCCCGGCTCAGCTTCCCTCAGGGCCAGCAGACACACCACCTCGATCATCCGACACAGTTGTACAAATAAAAACCTCACGTACGTCGAGGAGCGAGTCACACACACACAAAAAACACATACATGAAAACCACACAGACACACATAAAACACACATATACATACATACATAAAAACCACATATGCACACATAAAACACGCACATACACATACATACATAAAATCCACACACACACACTCCAGAAGTTTAGAGGTGATGATTGGACTGAGAACACCAGCTGACGATGCGGTCTCTTCCTCAATAATTTATGGCGCCTCGATTAAGACCAACATCATCTCCCACAACACAAGTTGATGTAAAACAGATGCTCACCAATGCCAAAGGTCACCCACAGTCCCAAAATACAAGGTGATCGAAAAGTCCCTGTGCACCTGATCAACAACATTAACCTCGTTCAACAACACTATTTAAATATTTCAGATGCACAGGGATTTTTCGATCAGCCTGTATACGAGATATTCACTGTTAAATATATATTGTTCCTGTGATAAAACTGATAATGCTGAATGTGGGTTTTGTCCACTGTTGCCAATTACTGCACTGTCATCATCTCCTCCACACACGTGTTTGATTAAGACCAGAGATCTAGATACCTTACATGAGTGGTCAGTAGACTGGCAAATGAATTTTAATACTGATAAATGCAAGGTACTACAGATAGGGAAGACGAATACAAACGTTAAGTATAAACTAGGTAACACGGAAATAGAAAACTCAGTTTGTGAAAAAGATCTAGGTGTATTTGTTAGCAACGAAACCTAAAAGAAACAATGTATTAGCGTTCTGCAACAAAGGCAAACCAAGTTCTTGGGTTCATATCTGGGTCTGTGAGTAACAGAACTGCTGACGTTATCTTGAAGCTTTACTAACGTGGTGAGGCCACACACATGGATATGCGGTTCCAGTTCTAGTGTCCTTATAGAATGGACGCATAGATTCTTTGGAGAGAGTACAGAAGAATGACAAAAATGATCATAATATTAAGGAAACCTTCCATGAAGAAAAGACTGAGAAAAGCGAGCACATTCATTAGAGGGCGTAGAGTTAGGGGAGATATGATGGGGTGTACAAGTGGGTAAGTGGGATTAACAAGGAAATGGAAATGGAAGATGTTCTGGAAGCTCAGTAATAACAATACTTCAAAACAATAGCTTCAAATTAGATAGAATTCCGATTCAGAAAGGATATAGGCAAGCACTGGTTTGGTAATAGAGTTGTGGATACGTGGAATAGGCTACCGAGTGCTATAGTAGGATCGGGGACGCTAGGGAGCTTCAAGACGAAGTTGGATAGGCACATGGAAGTGCTGGGATGGGTGTGAAAGGGATCTGCCCTGTATGGGCCAGTCGGCCTCCTGCAGTATCCCACTTTCTTATGTTCTTATGTTAACTCGTAAATGACTCTACTGTACATAACCTCGAGATTTGTTGAAACATTTTGTGACTCTTCTCTCACAGAAACAGATAAATAAAGTGAACGGAAATAAATTCACAGGAAAAAAATTCACATTTTATATACATACCATTAGTAAGTTGGGTTAGGTTAGATTAGGTTAGGTTAGGTTGGATTAGGTTAAGTTAGGATGGGTTAGGTTAGGTTAGGTTAGGATGGGTTACGTTCGGTTAGGTTAGGTTAGGTTAGGTTAGGTTAGGTTAGGTTAGGTTAGGATGGGTTGGGTTAAGTCAATATATTAGACACCATTTTCGGTCCCGTTGTGTTATTTTTTCACTTGATCCAGATACCTTTCTCACTGTGCTAAAATCAATTAACTTCTCGTCCATGTGTTAAAACCAACCTCTTTCACGCTCAAATGACATATTTAACCAAAATGACTTGAACCTAAACGCGATATGACATTCTTTACAAACCAGACGATCTCGGGCCAATGAAATGACAGTAAATGACATTTATCATAACATATGTCTATTTAAGAATTTAACTACGTCATTTATAAATAGATTAGATACGACATTTCTAATACAAAATCTTTATATATTTGTTTTATGTGATTTCCATTTTTTATGCGAATTTCACGTCAATGGGATCTGGCTTTGATGTTGTAAGTCAACCAGTCTTTTTTTTTATTATTTGCTCCGCATGAGGGCTAGTTTATTGGTTAACCAGTCTTAACCCTTTGACCACGATGATTTAACCCCCCCCTCATCTCCCTCACACTACCCAACCCCTCCCTCACACTACCCAACCCCTTCACCTCACTACACTACCCAACCCCCCACCCCCTTCTACCTGCCCCTTCACCTACTACCCAACCCCCCTCCCACACTACCCAACCCCCTTCACCTCCCCCTCCACTACCCAACCCCTTCACCTCCCTCCACTACCCAGCCCCTTCACCTCCCTCACACTACCCAACCCCTTCACCTCCCTCACACTACGCAACCCCTTCACTACCAGCCACCCCTTGTCTCGCTCCCACCTCCTTCTCGCCTTCCTCCCACTAACCCTTCCCCATTTGATTTCTTCCCACCAATCCTTCCTTTGCCCCCCCCTCCCTCGCTTCACTCTCACCAAAGAAATTTTGATCCTCTGCCTTGGGTATGTACTGTATGTCTCACCTGTAATTTATTGTTCTGCTACACATAAATTTGGTTTGCTTTCATTTTATTCTTGGGCGTCAGGGTGTATATATAAGTCCTCTA